TAATAATAATAATAATAATAATAATAATAATAATAATAATAATAATAATAATAATAATAATAATAATAATAATAACAATAATAATGAATAATATTAGCTGATAAAACTCAGAAATCTGTGATTAACCATAAATAAGAAAAGATATAATGATAATTTTGATTCTTAATTAATCAGAAATTCATTTATTTTTAAAAAGTATATATTCATCTAGTATTCTGTAATGTATCCATTTGATCGGATACGAGAACGAATTTACATCAGACCATCAGAATCTGCTATACCACGTCTTATTGTTATTGATGGTTGTAATATTGCACGTAGTTCATGCGGAATTGATCGTGAGTAAGTTTTTTATAAAAAAGAAAAATAAAAATATAAAAAATTTTTTTCAAAAATAAACTAGTTAATGATAAATAAATATTTTATTGAAAATATTGCTAATTCAAAATTTTATTGTTAAAATAATTTTTACCTAACAAAAAATTACAATTCAAACATTAATTTCTTTTTTTTTTTTGTTCGGAAAATAAACATTATTTTAAAAAATAAGTAATAAGCATTATTAAGTATTGCATTTCTAATTTTTTTTTTAAATTCGATTAATTCTATTGATGAAAAATTTTTCCGGAAATGTTAATTGTGCTGGTTTATTGGCAATTGTACGATTTTTGTTAATTCGTGATTTGGATGTTGTCGTATTCCTACCTGTAATTTACAATAATAATTATAATTTTAATGCAACCAATGCCGAAGTTCTACCGGTTCGTAATATTTATTAATTACAAATATTAAAATGGAAAAATTTTGTATTTTTTGAAATATTTTGCGCAAAGTTTTATTTGCGCGTTTATTTGTATATTGCGAAGTTATATTCTTTGAAGTATTTTGCATGATTTTTCTTGTTTTTTTTCTTTTTATCATCTCAAATTTGGGTAATTAAGTAATTAGATAAAGGAAAGAATATTAGCATAGCATAATCATTAAAAATTTCAAAACACAAATTAACAGCATGAAGCTAATTCTAAAAAATGTCACCATAAATTAAATTGATATGACAACAATTTGGAGAATAAAAGAAAAGAAGAATGTTACCGTAGTATATGAAGATTTTATTTATATATTTCAAGGATATGGTTTTACGATTACAAGGATCAGGACTTTATTAGCTTATGGTATTAGCTCACACTTTATTAGCTCATGCTAATAAAGCATTCTTTATTAGCTAGGACATATTGCTAAACAATAACCATATATCACAATTCTATGCAATGAATTACGCTCTATCACATATAGAAAAGACTTTAGATAATTTTTAATCTTAATCATAAATCTCAATTTTAATCCAAATTTAATTGTAATTTTAATTTTAACTTTTTCAATCTTAATTTTTTTTAATTTTGATCTTAATCATAAATCTTAGTTTTTATCGTAATTTAACTTTAATTTTAGTTTTAGTCTTTTTAATCTTAATTTAATCTTAATTTCAGTCTTAATTTCTCTTTAGTCTCAATTTTCCTAATTTCAGTCTTAATTTTTCTCCTAATCATTTGTTTTAATCTTAATTATTTAATATGTTACAAGCAAATTAATACATCATTACATATTCACTTATTCTTTATCATAGGGGTCTTTTTTTTTTTGGATTTATTCATAACAAATGTTTCAATACAAAAAAATATATTAAGAAATGAAATTTGTGCATAAAAAAGGTTAGTAATGAAAGTGTAAAAATGTTTAATAAAAGTAATTAACCAAAAAAGGAAAATTATTGTTTAAAAATATTCAAATATTTCATCATTTTCTTCTTTTCTCTCAATTAATAAATTATAAAGGATATTGAAAAAAATTGGAATGAGGAATTATTAATGATTAATTTATTCATTTTCTAAGTATCAATATTAAAATTTGATAAATGTTGGTTTGATTATTAAGCATGTTGTGATATGAATTGATGTAAACATCATCATATCCAAGTATTGAAATTAATTTAGATGAATTAATTAGAATATTTAATTTAAAATGATTTTTTTCCCCATTATTATTGTGGTTGATAATAATTCGAAAATTTGATTCAAAATAATTTTAAAAAATTATTATGTTATAATTTGTATAATTGATAAATTGTCAAAATTTTTATTTCATTTTTTTGTTTTTTAAGAAATGAAAAGGAATTTTAAAAGGAAAATGTTCAAAAATTAGAATTAATATTGGAGAAATTGCGAAATAAAATAAATTAAGGATAAAAATTTGTCAATGGTGAAATGATTTTACAGAAATTACAAGGTTTGGATGTTCTAACATTTACACCAGCTCGTACCGCACGTGCCGGACGACCGGCATTTATCAATTATGATGATTTATATGTGTTGGAATTTGCGGAACGTCATGGTGGTAGCGTTTTATCCGGTGATCGGTTTGATGATATAGCAAAAGAATATTCTTACAAGTTTTTGCTTTTTTCTTTTTTTTTCCATTGATTTCATATTTTTCTATTTGAATTAATTAGTATTGATTGTTTCAGATTTTATTATAAATCGGAAATGAGTAAGATAAGATTAATTAGAAAATTAAATTTCAAGTTTTTTTTTTCCAACAAAATATATGGTGCCATATTTTGTTAAACGAAAGAAAAAAAAACATTTTTGAGAGAAAAATATTTTCCAATAAGTACAATTTTTGCTCATTTATTTCAGATTAGAAAATTTTTAATTTTAATTTTTTTTTGATATTTGCTATGGAAATAAATAATTCATGCCACAAGAAAATTAATATATTCACTTAATTTTATTATTATTTCAGAGATTTACGTCGAATAATTAAAGAACGTCGAATTGACGTCATTTTTCGTCAATTAAATAGTGATTTTGTACATTATGGACGTGATCGTTTCTTTCGTTTTGTACCTGAACTTTGTATTATACGTATGTTTGGCGGAATATTTTAAAATTCTAAATTTTATTTCTAAATTATTTCATCTCATCTATTTTCCCTTTGTCAGTGCGATATTCGAAATAAATTTATCATGTTAAAAAGAGAAAAAAGTGTTCTTTTTTCTTTCAACTTTTTAAATTTTACAATTTTATTATCATTATTATTATTATTATTATTATTATATTATT